CTGGATTTGAGACTCAAACAATGTAATGAGAGAGATGGTTCTCTCTCCGTGCTCTGCCTTGCACTGGCTTAACTTTAGTGGGAGCAAATGGGAGCAGCAGCCCTAGCCCTTATTTAATAGCTAGCTTTTCATATTTAGAGTCCAGCAGGAAAGAGCAAATTCGCTTCCTAGAGAGCTCACAAAAGTTGCAGAATTGAGTCTCCTTGATTCTGACTGGCCTGATTGGATCATGTTTCCCTCCCTAAACCAGTCCTGCCACCTGGAAACCACAATGCTCTATTTAAGAAAATTAGCCCTTTGTCTGTCATTGCGAAACAGATATCTTCCATTTTACCATTTGTTTTTTAAAGCTTAGTTATGGTATTTTTTTACGAACAGACATTGTTATTCTGTGTAGTCAAATTTATCAGTCTTGTAGGTTCTGCCTAAAATCCCCTCCCCACTCTGATTTTTTTTTTCCACTTCCCATGTTTTCTTTAATATTTTACAGTTCCTTTGTAGACTGTTTAAATCTTGGGTCATCTAGAATTTATTTTGTCAAAGGAAAGAAGTATTTTATTAAAACTGGGAGATAGAGCTTATCTTTTCCATAAGGCTAGCCAGTTGTCCCAGTGTATTTAAAAGTAATACATTTTTTTCTCCACTGGTTTAAAGTGCAACCTTAATCATACATTAAATTCCCGAGTGTATTTACAACAATTTGTGGACTGTCTTTTGTTTCCTTGATCCACCTATTCATGGACTAGTACCTAACTCCTTCAATTACTGTAGTTGTACAATGTTTTAATATCTGGTAGGGTTGTTCATTCCTCCGCCTTATTTTTCTTTTACAGAATTTGTCCGGCTATTCTTACAAGTTTATGTTCCCATATAAACTTTAGAATCAGCCTCTACAGTACTAAAGTATTTTGAAATATATTTCATGGAGGGCTTGGAAAGACCTAACCAACCATCCCGGCCCCGCATTTGCATAAAGCTCTCTGACGACTAGATTTTTGTCCACCCAGTCCTATTGTCTTTCTCCTGAAGCATGCTGAATGAGCTCTGCCACTTTCTGACTCCTTGGGCTTCCATTGTCTATGCTCTGATCATCCTCCATCTAGTCATATGTTCTCCAAAGAGGGTATGATTGGTTTGCTTAATAAATTATATAACATTCAGGTTTGCTTTCTTAAGATTCTACCAACATCACCTTGATTGGAATTAGCGAGTTCTCCCAAAGCTCAGTGATTTGTTTACTGATGATCCCTTGCTTTCTTCCAGGTATAGTTAACCGCTTCCATTTGATGTGGGAGATCTCGTTGGCTGACTTCCTAACAGCAATCTCCCCCGCTCACAGAGTGATGCCTGGAGCTGTGCCAGTCATCTTACAACCATGAGAGGATAAGCCGAGGGGCAGAGCCAGGCTGCTGAGGACGGTAGAGCAGAAGGAAGGAAATATCCTGGGTCTTGAATGACACTGTTAAGCCACTGTAGCTTTCCCTCTTATTATGTGAGATGGTACATGTCTTTATTGTTTATGCCAATTTTAGCTGGGTCTTCTTTATTTGCACCTAAAAGGCTCCTGATAGCCCATTCTCATACTAGATAAGTCATCCAGTGGTGTGAAGTCAGCTCATACATGCTTGCAAGAGCCAATTTCTAAATTTTACAGAATTTTGGCTGCTGGTTGACAACACAGTAGCTTGAAATCAACCATGGTGGGAATATTTCCACCTCAGAAATTGACAAATACTACAAATCAGGCCTCCCCCAACCAAGAGTCAGTTGTTAAACATCTACTAGCACACAACTCTTTTTACTCAATGAAACGTTCCTAAAAAGCCATGGTTACTCAAAACGCCATTGGTACGTATTAACTTGTAGAGATACTGTATTTTCACTTTATGTATCTGGTAACAAATGGATGAGCATACTTCAGCTTGATGTTTTTCTGTCACTCCAGGTACATAATGATGTGGTTAATGATCTATAAAACACTAAATTTCACTAATTTAAAGGAACTCGGTGATGAGTCCTTTGTATTTGAAACAAACCTTCTTCTATTTCATACATGTGTGTCAGGCTGGGTACCCCTTTATCATCAAAATGAGTCAGTGTCTCCAGAGCCCAGTTGTGTTTGGGTTTGTTTCTTATACTAGTTTCTGTGCTTCTGATTTGTACTCAAGGCTCCCTTCTCCCCACCACTTCTAACCCCCTTCACCCTGCCCCACTCCAGGAATAGGAGTGATGCTACTATAGCTCAGCTCTAAAGACATTTTATTGGTTAGTGCTAGGTGGAGTTCTTACTCTGCCCCATGGAGAAGGCTCATGGGCACATACGTGGGTTTTCCTGTTTTGGTCTGGAGTGGTAAAAAGGTGGGGCTGCTCTCACAAGGGAGGAGGCATTGGCAGCTTTCATTTTGTATTTGACCCCTATGTGTGAATTCCTCCTTCTGCGAGAAAGCTTGGCCATCTTTTTTGGGGCTTTCTTCCTTCCTTCCTTCCTTACTTTTTCAGTGCTCTCTTTCTCCTCTTTATGTGGCAGCTGGGGCCCAGGGCTGTTCTCGCCTGAGGTTTGAAGAGCATTATTTTTTTTTTGCCATAAATCCTATACCTTCTTTTCTTGTGGTGTTGGCAGGTATGGTCTTCGTTCCTTGAAGTGGTAAGATCCAAAACTCAGGGTCTGCTTGGGATGGCCTTTTGGCCTGTTTGGTTCTGGGCTATCCAAGCCTACCTAGTGTCGGCACAGGAGTTGTCATTTCCAGCCTGCTGACTTGACTCCATGTTGGGTTTGGCTGTAAAGTGCTGTTCAGGCGTTGCTTCCTTCTCACGAACAGAGCACTGAGGCATGGCAGGATTGGATCGGGTTCTGTTGGATCACAGGAAATTTTTCCTGCTCAAATATTTATCTTACTGCCAAGTCAAAATGGCCTGTTAGAGCTCACTGTTGAACTCTAACCCAACTCCCAGCCCAGGAGTGTCCGTGGCACTGTGTCATTACACAACAGGTGAATGAGTTGTGTCCACTCCGACCCCAGGGCTCGCTTTAAGAATTCAGCTGATTTACCTCCTCGACATTCCTAGAGTTGGGCTGGGTATTTCTCTGCAACCCATAACAGTTTCTGAGTCACAATTATCATCATCTGTCTTGTGAAGCACTCTGAAATTTGATGTGGACAGCTCCAAGCTGCCGACACACTTACAGAGTCTTTCCAGCTCCATGTGTCCTCCAATCATATATTTTTGGGGGCCTCAAATGCGCCTGCTCTGGTCAGGGCCATTCTAGCCTACACTAGGCCTTTTTCAGGAACTGGAAACCGACTGGGGCCGGGGGGGAATTCCTGATTTGTAGCATTTACTGATTTCTATGGTGTAAACACTTCCATCATTGCCAATTAAAAACTATAACCTGATGTCACTCAGTGTGGCGCTGGGGAGAGATGCACACAGTTCGCTTTCCTCTGGGAAGCCAGCAATAAGCCCGCTGCAGCACACCATTGTTTTGCACATTTAAAAAAAGTCGCCCTCTGGGTGGAGGAATTAAGAAAGCTACTCCCTTTGGGCAAATTAGAAAAAGGCAACTCTCTGGGCAGACCTGTGCCACATGTGTGCCCTGGTGAGCAGATGGCAGGTGCCCCTTCCTCCACACATGGCTTGTTGAGGGGAATGTGAGCTAGATTTTAGGCCCATTCACCTCCTCAATTGGGTGCCTTTGTGCAATGCACAATTAGCACAACCTTACATGGCAGTCCTGGCTCTGATTCATCACTACCCTGTAGTTAAGTAAAATGGATGCAATAAGGGAAAAAGAGAACCAAGTTACCCAGCAGCCTGAAAACCTGCTTTATGCAGATTATAGGATTATTGCCAGTTGGAACATTAATTGCTCTTAAAATTAGCCTAATTAAAAACAATCTATTATTGCTAAAGAGAACCTCCAACTATACCATTCCAGGGATAGACTAATGATATAGCTAAAAAGACTTTGGAAATGTGAGACCTACAACACTACATATTTAGATTCCAGCTCATTAAATAAATATATTTATCTTTAGTGATTTAAATCTTAACAATAGTCAAACCCAGGCATATGCGAATATTTTAAATTTAACTTAGTTCTTTACTACTTCAGAAGCAGTTTCTCATAACTCCGGAGTCTTTAGCCTACCAATTCCTCTGTGAAAGTTATCCTCGCCGTTTTTTATAGATGAGGAAACAGGCTAGGAGAGTAAATAATTCAAGGTGACTCAGAAAACGGATCTAAGACCAGTTCTTTTGCCTAAATCTCACACTTTTTACTACTCGTGCTTATACAGACATATTTCAGTACTGTGAAACAGACAATTTGAGATATCTCTGGTGAAGATATTTTATTTTTCATAAAAATATAATAGTACAATGCTCTTCAGAGAAAGAAAAATTCCTTCAATGCCCCCAAATACCATGTGGTTTAATAGCAATTTTCTTCTCTTTTAAAACTAAATATGTAATTGATAATATGCAACTGATTTCTTGTGAAATATAGCCTTTATGTTTTTAAATTTTCTTTGCCTTTATTTTAACTAAAGGTAAGTCCAGTTTAAACCTATACTTTTTGTAATGCGCCCAATCAAGTCTATCATAATTCAAAGATGATAAAATAAAATGCTAAATGGTGATGCTGATAAATACTGTCAATTAGCTGGAAAACAGTGATATGAATTTGCTGCAATAAGATAGATTCTGGTTTAGATACAATAGAAAGATTTACATAAAAGAGAAAAAAAATTTTAAGAACTTCGACTATATCCTAAAACTTGACCTGGTCAAACTTACTCCATATTATATTCAGTTGCTCTAATGTATGGCAGGTCTATGCTAAATTAACGACAGAATACGACTGGTCTAAATACACGAATATATTTTTCCCCTCACCACTCTTTCTTTGGGAAAAAAAGAAAAAGAAAACATTACTGTGTTCACTGAGAGAGCAAGGGGAGCAGCAGGGATCGTGGGGTACCAGCTCACTGGTGCTCTCGCCCTCTCGTTCTCTCAGCCTGCTTGCTGTCATCACCGGTGAGGACGCCAGGATGTCAGTATGCTGCTCCCTAGCTGGAACGGGGAAAGAAATGCTCCAGCTGTTTTAATCAGCGGCACTTATAAACCTGCTTCCAGTGGCCAAAGCGTACAGGCCAGCACAATACCCAAAGCAATCAGAACATTCCTTTTTAAGACCAAGTTTCTCTCAGTTTGATCTACTCCAAAGTACCAAATAGATAGGTTTAGGAATAAACTCAAATAAATTGTAATTTACTTCCACCCAAAATTACACATCCTCTACCTGAGGACAAAGTTACTGCTCTTGTAAAGATACTAGGAGGGTGGGAGCTCAAATGACCCTGTAATTTAAAATTACAACCAGAGAAGAAATACTTCAAGCACAATGGAGACATTCCATTGAAGAGCCACATTCATTTTGGAATGTTTGCTTTGAAAACGAACTCTTATGGGGAATTCAAAAGGTACTGAACAAGCAACATAGAGTAAGTCTTGGGTTGTCTTGCAAAATAAAAATATATGAGTAGACCAGATGGCAAAAACATACCCATTACAATTTGAACCCTATATTGAAAATACTTAAATTCTGAAGGCCTGAATATCAACAATCCTTAATCTATCTATATTTGTGATCCTAAAAAGACATTAAATACTCTTCAGTCCCCAGTCCTCCAAAACACAGAGACGCCCAACAGGCTGGGCTAGTGGTGTTCAGTAGTCACACAGGACTAGACTAGAGATCTGAGTTTGCAACCTAAGCACAAGAGATCTTTAGGAACTCAGGCTAAGGGGAGGCATTTATTCAAATGCATGGCCTAAAAAGAAGGGGGGAAAGTACCTTGTAATCTGAAACTATGTGGTCCATCTCATGTTCCACCTCACAGACATTCTAGACTATGACACCTCCTCTTAAAGTGCCATTTTATAACAAAACATATTCTGTGTGGAAGCCCAATATTTGCTTCATTAGAGCAAAGAACAATTATAATTTAGCAGCAACAGAGAACACAACTCTTGATTTAACTATGGGAAAGGGAAGAGAGATAAAGTATCTCAATGGGGAAATCAAAAGATTCCTAGGTCTATTTGAGTGTATCATATTATGAGCTTGATTCCTCCAGCATCACTGCATTTGGTAGTCAGGAAGAAAGTAAATGTAGCTGTGACCGGGAACTGGAAAGAATCATTCTGCCCTTCTGCACCTCCTTCCAGGCCCACTAGGGGCGGTGTTGTACACAACTCTAGCTCCAGGGCTTCACTCCCCAGTGGAGGCATAGGCAGGGCTGAACCAGATGCACACCCACAGTGTGTTTCTTTCTAGCTCAGAACAATTTATAAGGAAACTCACGTCAGGTAAGAAACTAAGTGTTCTGGTTACAGCTACAGCTGTTAGATCTAGCGGCAATTTGTCCCTCACTGTTCCAGATCTCTTGTGGCAGAAACTAGATCTCGGCAGCTAGTTTCATCCTATTTTCTTTAGAAAAATTCTCCGAGTTAGTTGAGCACACAAGGAAATGTGTGTGCACATTCACTCCTGCCCTCCCCACATACATGTATAGACGTACAATAGAACATATACGTACACACACACACACTCTGGGTTGTCAAGATGATGTATGCTGCTGAAATGCCTAAAAGGTGACTTCTTGCTTAAAAATAAAATTTGACTAATTATTCTCCACGTATGGATTAGGCCCTAGCAAACTTTTATAAATATAGTCTGAGAAGACAGCAACAAAAATTTTAAATAGAGGCTGTCTTGAGGGCTTTCCTGATGGATTTTGTTAACACATACATTATTTAAAACAGGCATTTCATTATGGATTATAAAAATAGAAATGTATATATTTGTTAATACATATTCACAGCTTATGCTGGAATGGCTCACAGGAGAAATCATGGTTCATGCATAAAATACACATTACTCAAGTAAATATAAAGAAATAAGATTAGGTCCATAAAGGCTGAGAACTTAGTCAGTAATCAGCCCATCTGGTGTCTCTTTGTAGGGCAATCAAAAACAGGAAAGGAGGTGACACCTAAACACACAAACACATACAATTACATGAATTACATGGAAGGAATATAAATTAACCAATAAAGCAATGTGGAGTTAAGGTGCAAAAATACAATCTTCACCCATTTTTCTCTACTCCTGTGTTTTCAAGCATTGCAACATGTTAACTGCCATGGGTGGCAATACCAACCAGAATAGGTCTGGATGTTTGTAAATTTTCTAAGTGTAGAAAGTTAAAGCAAAATCCTTTCAGATCTCTGATCACACATTTTGGTAGAAATTGCAGATTTACAGAGATGACTACTGAGCAGTAGGTAGTAAGTGGAGCCAAGAAGTATAATCTTGCCCATTCATCCTCCATAGGAATCAGAATATTGGCTTCAATCACTGACTCATCATTTGATATGATCTTCACCCTGAAAAATAAATCAAAGTTACCAATGTAAGAATGATTTTAAAGTCCATGAAGTTTGGTTAATCTGTTTTAAAATGTATGATTTTTTTTTTTTTTTAGTTTAGTATCTATAGCAAGGCTATTTTTAAATACAGACTGAAAGAAAACTGAGCTGACTTGGCTATTTTTCATTAATTCAATTTAAACTAAAGCAAATGTTACCTGACCTAATAAAAATTATCAAAAGGCCAATCCTTCAATTTTATAAAAATTTTTTAGAAGATAAAAAAGTTTACAACATTTCCTTATAACTATTTCAAGTGCTCCCAAAGCCATCACCATGGTGAAGAAATCAATACATGGCATCTTCATTCTAAAATCTTTACAGTCTCTTCAACAAATGGTGCTGGGACAACTGGATATTCACATGCAAAAGAATTAAGTTGGACCCCTACCTCACACCATATAGAAAAATTAACTCAAAATGGATCAATGACCTAAATATAAGAGCTAAAACCATAAAACTCTTAGAAGAAAACATAGGGGTAAACCTTCATGACCTTCGATTTGGCAATGACACCCAAAGCATGAACAACAAAAGAAGAAAACAGATAAACTGGACTTCATAAAAATTAAAATCTTTTGTGTATCAAAGGACACTATCAAGAAAGTGACAAGACCACCTACAGAATGGGAGAAATATCTGCAAATCATATATCTGATAAAGGTACAGAATCCAGAATCCAGAAAGAACTCTTACAACTCAACAACAAAATGAAAAATGACATACTTAAAACATGGGCAAGGGACTTAAACAGAAATTTCTTCGAAGAAGATACACAAATGGCCAGCAAGCACATAAAAAGATGCTCAATCATTAGTCATTAGGGAAATGCAAATCAAAACCACAATCAGATACCACTTCATACCCACTAGGAAGGCTTGTTTTTTGGGGTTTTTTTTGTGAGGAAGATTAGCCCTGAGCTAACATCCATTGCCAATCCTCCTCTTTTTGCTGAGCTAATATCCGTGCCCATCTTCCTCTACGTTATACGTGGGACACCTGCCACAGCACGGCTCAATAAGCGGCGTGCGGGTCTGTGCCCAGGATCTGAACCTGCGAACCCCCGGCCGCCGAAGTGGAGGACACAAACTTAACCACTACACCACCAGGCCAGCCCCAGGAAAGCTATAGTTTTTAAAAATGGAAACTAAAAAGTGCTGGCAAGATGTAGAGAAATGGGAACCTTCATATATTGCTGATGGGAATGTAAAATATTTTAGCCACTGTGGAAAACAGTTTGTGGTTCCTCTAAAAGTTGAATACAGAATTACTATATGACCCAGCATTTCCACAGGTACTCAAACACATACTTGTACATGCATGTTCACAGCAGCACTATTTACAATAGCCAAAAGGTAGAAACAAATGTCCATCAACGGATGAATGAATAACCACAAATTGTGGCATACATATACAATGGAATATTATGCAGCCATAAAAAGGAATGAAGTACTCATACATACTACAATGTGCATGAACCTCAAAAACATGCTAGGTGAAAGAAGCCAGACACAAAAATCATATACTGTATGAATCCATTTATATGAAAGATCCAGAATAGGTAAATCTATAGAGACAGAAGCAGATTTATGGTTGCCAGGGGCTAGAGGGAAGGGGTAAGGCAAGTACTGCTTAATAAGTTTGGGTTTTCTTTCAGAGCGATAAAATGTTTTGTAGCTAGATAGAGGTGGTGATCATACAACATTGTGAATGTAGTAAATTCCTCTGAATTGTTACTTTAAAATGGTTAATCTTACGCTATGTGAATTTCACATGAATAAAAAAGAAATCCTTAAAGTGATGGGCTACTGTACTAGACAGAGCGTGGACTAGGTGAGGACAGGTTGTACCATTACAGCTATGTGACCCTGAGTACCTTACACAGCCCCTCTGCTATTTCTTCATCTATAAAATAAAAAGTATAATTTTTTAATACAATTATTGGAGGAAATACTTATGATAAATATAAGTGAGAATACTGTGTAAGCTGTTAATAAAAATACAAATAAAAGGTATTATTATTAACAATAACTAGAATAGTACACTCCCATTTATGGAGTACATGTATTTACTTAAAAAATTCCATAAATTTACCAGTTGCTCTCTATAGACCCCACATAAAATGCATTTCAATATTTAGAATCTAACGCCATCTCACTTGCTTATCAGTGTGTGTATTACAAATGACATCAACATTTTATTTTATTTAAAGACACACCGAGGAAAGTGGTCAATAGAAACCCTACCTGAGGGCCGGCCCCATGACATAGCGGTTAAGTGCGTGCGCTTTGCTGCTGGCAGCCCGGGTTCGGATCCCGGGCACGCACTGATGCATTGCTTGTCAGGTCATGCCATGGCAGCATCCCACATAAAGTGGAGGAAGATCGGCATAGATGGTAGCTCAGGGTCAGTTTTCCTCAGCAAAAAGTGGAGGATTGGCATGGATGTTAGCTCAGGGCTCATCTTCTTCACAAAAAATAAATAAATAAATAAAGTAAAAAAAAAAAGAAAAAGAAACTCTACCAGCAGACACTCCTCTAAATATAAACTCTCCCACAGATTGTACTCACAGGAATTGCTATTAGCATCTGTCTTCCCAGCTTTTGTGTGCCTGCTTGAGTTCTGCTGAGATTTGCTCTGCTCTTCTCCAGTGAGTAGGGCCTTTATTTCAGAAGGGATTTTTCCTTGGTCCATTGCCATGCACCACTGCTTGTACTGAAATATGTAAAATATATTTAAGTAAAATTTTACTAGTCAGAGTTCAGGAACCACTGGTAGAAATCCTAGACACAAGAACTCCCATACCTAGAGGTCACATTAGCCGCTGGGAATCCCACCCTCCATGTATTCCTGTTTATAACCTAGGACATGGATGAGGTCTTCCATCTCTCAGAAGAGGGCGAAGAACCGCTGCTAAAGCTCCTCCTTGCGATACACAGGAGTGTTGCTCAGATTAAAAAGGCCCCTCTGATTAAAACATCTCTCCACAGAGTGCTACTAATTAGAATTCATCTCTTTTTGCTAATTATCACATTATTATTTCTACTCACCAAATAAACACTTTTGTATTTTCCTTTCTCTCTTCCATAAACATTCACTAAACATCGACTGTCTACCAGAGTGTGAACTAGGACTTTGTGGGTATCCCAAGATGAATCAGTCCAAAGATTATCCCTCAAGTGGCTTACATTGCAGAAGGTGAGAAATAATGTATAGCATAAGTCAAATTCAATATATTTTTAAAAATCTACTGAATAGTGTACATCTGGACTCTCTTCATACCCCAACCTTATTTTCTTACCTTCTAAAAATCTGAAGGCCTGTCCCAGTTTTGTAAAGATCATGGTAGTATTATCTCTCTCTTCTCCTACCTGTCACCTCCTCCCCTGAGCTCACAGTAATGCGGTTTAATTTTTTTTTACCTATTCTCTTCTACATTTCTACAGCCACTTCCCACAGTCTGAATGAATGAATGAATAATACACGCCAAATTGTTTAAACACAATTGATATCATACAATACATATTGTTACGTATTGTCATTTTGCTTTTTCTACTTAGCAATATATTGTAAATGTCTTTCTAGATGGGTACATATATATGTGCACTGTGAATTTTACTGGCTGCAAAGTAGTCCAATATATAAATGCAGTATAATTTAACTAACCAATCTCCTATTGTTGTACATTTGAGTTTTCATTTTTTCTTTCATAAACAATCCGTCAACGAAACAGTCATGTACTCCACTCCCACCAGCAGTGTATGAAAATGCTTATTTGCCTATATCCTGGATAACAGATTAATATTCTTTCACGTTTGCCAACTGGATAGGTGAAAACTGCTACCTTCATGTTTTAACGTATATTTCTTTGCTAAGCTTAGGTTGATTTTTTTCATGCATTTATTGACAGACTTTCTTACCATTTCCAGTTCCTCTCTGAGGGCACATATGGCTCTTTCCCGACTGGATACCAACTCTTCCAAATACTGATATCTCAGTTTTTTTCTGGCCCGGCATTCTCTTGCACTCTGCCTGCTCCTTTCAAGTTTTGCCTTCAAGTCAATTTTGGCTGGCTTCCGACCTCGTTTGCCAGGCTTCTTTACTTTGCCTCCAACCACCTTCAGCAAGAAAGAGAAGAAATATTTTTTTTCTCTTAGTTCTGCATTGAGGAAAGTGACTACAGCTGCGTATTAGCAAGGAAAACATTTACAAGTAATAAATGAATGAAGCCTATGTAACTAAGAAAGCAGAATCCCATCAAATGCCTTATGAGTCTTTGATTAATAATTTTTTTCTCATACTTTTGATACCATGAATGTGAGAGAAGAAATGATGTTTTCATTAATTCTTCAATAATAAACTTTCAATAGGTTAACAGTAAACTTTATGAACCATATGTAGCTAGATAATAAAAAAACTAAAAGACTGCCACTAAATATTTTGTTCATGAAGAATTTTTATTGACTTGAGAAAATAATTACAATAGGGCCGGCCCCGTGGCTTAGCGGTTAAGTGCGCGTGCTCTGCTACCGACAGCCTGGGTTCGGATCCCGGGCACGCACGGATGCACCGCTTCTCCCGCCATGCTGAGGCCGCGTCCCACATACAGCAACTAGAAGGATGTGCAACTATGACATACAACTGTCTACTGGGGGTCTGGGGGAAAAAAGGAGGAGGATTGGCAATAGATGTTAGCTCAGAGCCGGTCTTCCTCAGCAAAAAGAGGAGGATTAGCATGGATGTTAGCTCAGGGCTGATCTTCCTCACAAAAAAAAAAAAAAAAGAAAAAGAAAAAAAAGAAAATAATTACAATAAAATAAGTTAAAAAAAACAATATTCAAAACTGTAAGTTCAGTATGATCTCAATGTTATAAAACAACACAAAGAAAGGATGATAAGAAAAGGTCAATGAGGATTTCTCTGATAGGTGTGATTATAAATAGCTTTTTTCTCATCTGTATTTTTTATGATTTTTAAATGTTTATAATTAGAAAAAATCAAAAATATGTATATAAAATTATATATATATGTATACATATATATATGTATCTTAAGCAATTTTGCTATAAATTGCCTCTTCAAATTTGTTGAGCCCAAAGGAACACACAGGAAGTCCCTGAAATCTTCAGGATAATTCTCTCCTACCTTTAGAAGCCTATAATTATAACCCTACACTGTCTCAGGAGATTTCTACCTGCTCCCACTGGTGTCAGAAGACATCCTCTCAATATCCCTGTTATTCATTTACCTGCGTAGGCACAATTTTTAGGTGACTGGCAAAGTAATTTAATCTTCTTCATTGTTTAGCTTTGGAACCTCCCCAAGTTCTTATACAAGATTTAATCATGAGGTAAAGATGATGAATTTTTAAATACACGAACCTGAACTTATATATCAAATAAATGTTCTTTAAAGCAGTCACCTTGAAAGGGGGTACATTTATTCCAATGAACAAGTTTTTTTGGAAAGTGCTTTTGGAACCAGTATTTTATAAGTCACATCACAATACGCCTCATTACTGTAGAGTGACACATTAGTCTCTAAATTCCCAATTTGGTTATCCACTTTGTTTATCTGACGAGGTGCTGAATGATGTCTATTCTTTCTGAAAATCATCTTCAGAGAATAAAAATGTCATAATTTCAGTATACCGAAAGGAATATTGCTGAGGCTTTAAAGGCAATTCTAAAAGAGAAGATACAAAACTCAAACACTGGCAAATCACTGGCATAAATGCAGAAGCCTTCCTAGGTAATAAAACTCAAAGGATCAATGTTCATTTGGATAGAAAAACTCTGATTTGTTTGTTTGAGATCACTATTAATATACACCAACAATGCCCAGTACCCTATAAAGATCAGGTCATTACTAAGTATAAGCGTTAGGTCAGGAAAACCACGCTTTAAATGTGAATCAGCCACATTTACCAGACCTTGTATCATATCATGATGGCTAACTGTCGCATCTAGCATTTTATAGGGTGGCTCTGAAATGAGACAGAATGCTCCAAGGTTCGGGAAAAAACAAACCTTTCCTTTCCACCACCATCTAGCTAGCTGCTTCAATACTACTCCCAGTTTCAACTTTTCAAAACTAGTCTTTTAAAGCTTTCCTATACTGCATCATTATGTTTTTATTTCAATATAATAATATACACCTCAGGAAACTTTTCCTCAGAGTGAAATATTTGAAACCAACTGCGAGATGACTAGTTGATTCAAATATTACTATGGACCAAATTTTAAATTATGCTTATATCACATCAATTGCACAATTTTAACAAAATATTTTGAAATCACCGTGCATTAAAACAAAGTGTATTTGCTATTGCTACAGTTTTTAAAAAGCAACGTATTTACAGCATAAATTCATGTGTATAGTGAAATAGAAGGTAATCAGATCTATTCTTTATGTAGTAAAATGAGTCATCCATCACACAACACTATAATCCAATACCTCATATATTGCTGTTTTTAATTAATTCAGGAGTGGCTGCCTTTGAGAAGCCAGCAACAGAACACAGTGTACTTCACAGACTTCATTGATTTTTTAAACAAACCCACCACAGTCATAAAAATCAAACAAAAGTTATAACCCTTTGTTTAGTTTTCACGGTAGCAAAATATTTAAATTGGAACTATTTTATTCCTTATTTTTTTATTAGAAAGGAATAGTAAATGAATCCAGGGTTCCTGTATTTCATGTCATCTCCTGTAAAATTACATTTGAAACCACATAACCACCACTTTTCTAGCTTAATTTTTCCCCAGGAATAGACTGACTGTTTGGCTTCTGGTGCCAGCTAAAATCTGATTAGTGTACCAGTTTTCAAGAGAATCAAGTATAGTACAGGATTATTTTAAATATTAAGTACAATAATGTATGAGAGCACTTTGTAAAGAAAAAGATATTACACAAATGTAGGTTAGTAAACTAGCTGCCTTAACAACAGAACTTTATATATTTCATAAGCCATAGAGACTGAGGGATGAATAAAGGAAGTTAATTAGAAACTAGGAACCAGAAACTAGAACTGAAATCAACTTTAAAAATTCCTTAAATATCTCTGGGCCAAAAATCATTCTTACCAACGTTTCATAAAATTTTCACAAATTCAATGATAACCACATATTCCTCTTGCTCTCTCCTCTTATTTCTTCTGTGAGGAAGCATATTAATGTGGCTAAATAAAAGTACTGGTTTTTATGCACCACACAAACTCCAAAGGAAACTATGAAAATAACCCCAAAATTCAGCATTATTTTCTGTTCTAATTTTATTTTTATTGACATGGAGCCACATGAAAATTTAAATAGCTGTCTTTAAAACAGTGTACCATTCATTGTTTTATCACTTTATCCACTATCCACTTTACCTCTTTTTCCTCCCCAAAACACATTTGTGAGCTGAGGATAGAAGGCCCTAAGGGAAAGACTCAGAAGGCCTGACTCCCTACCCCTCACCACTAGCTAGCCAATGGGTTTTTTTCCTTTTTTTTGACCCTCCATAGAGAAATTATTTCACAAAGGTAGAATACTAGAGATGTCAGATTTCAGTAGTGCCTCTGCAATACCAAGTCTGTTTTCATTATATGTTAAAAATGTTAAAGTCTACCTTTTATAAGCAAATAAGAGCAAAGGTCCTACTTTTCTGTTAACTACCTGTTTTTCACACTTTATCCTTTGAGACAAGCTAAAACTAGACGTCATGATTTTTACAAAGTAAGCACCAGGGACTGTGTCATATAATTCCATCTTAGTACACAGCAGTAAGTACTTAATAAACATGACACATAAAAAACAAAAGACAGGGGCCAGCCCTGTGGCATAGGGGTTAAGTGCGTGCGCTCCGCTGCTGGCGGCCCGGGCTCGGATCCCAGGCGCGCACCGACGCACCGCTTGTCAAGCCATGCTGTGGCAGCGTCCCATATAAAGTGGAGGAAGATGAGCATGGATGTTAGCCCAGGGCCAGTCTTCCTCAGCAAAAAAGAGGAGGATTGGCATCAGATGTTAGCTCAGGGCTGATCTTCCTCACAAAAAAAAAAAGACATTCCTAAGTAACCAAAGGGTCAAAGAAAGAGATCACAAGGGAAATTAGAAAAACACGTTGAGATGAATGAAAAGGAAAACACAACATACCAAAACTTTATGAGATGCAGCTAAAGCAGTGCTCAGAGGGAGCTGTAAACACCTAAATTAAAAAAGAAGAAAGATTTTAAATCAATAACCTAATTTTCCACCTTAAGAAACTAGAAAAAGAAGAGCAAATTAAACCCAAAGCAAGCAGATGGAAGGAAATAATAAATATTAGAGCAGAGATAAATAAAACAGAGAATGGAAAAACAACAGAGAAAATCAATAAAACCAAAAGTTGGTTCTTCAAAAAGTTCAACAAAATTGACAAACCTTTAGCTAGACTGGCCAAGAGAAAACATTTAAAATACTAAAATCAAGACTGAAAGAGAGGACATCACTATCAAAATAAAAAGGGTTACATGGGAATACTATGAAAACTTCCTTGCCAAAAAACTAGATGAAATGAACAAATCCCTAGAAAGACACAAAGTAGCAAAACTGACTCAAGAAGAAATAGAAAATCTGAATAGACCTATAACAAATAAAGAGATTTAATTGTAATCAAAAAATTTCCCACAGTGCTTGCTTCGGCAGCACATATACTAAAATTGGAACGATACAGAGAAGATTAGCACAGCCCCTGCGCAAGGATGACACGCAAATTCGTGAAGCTTTCCATATTTTTAGAAATAGAAGTATAATGATGTACACCTGAAATTTATACAATGTTATAAACCAATGTTACTACAATAAAGAAAAATTAAAAAAAAAAAAATTTCCCACAAAGTCCTGGTCCAGGTGACTTCACTGGTGAATTCAACCAAACATTTAAAGAATTAACATTAATTCTTTACAAACTCTTCCAAAAAAAAAAGAAGAGGAGAGATCACTTCCCAACTCATTCTATGAGGCTAATATTAGCCTGATACCCAAACCAAAGAAGTCATTAGAAAAGAAAACCATAGACCAATATGTCTTGTGAATATAGATGCAAAAATCCTTAATAAAATACTAGCAGCAGACTGAATCTAATAACAAACAAA